AGAAGGTTTCCAGTTTCATGAGGTCCTCTTCAATCTTTGTGGCTGTGTTATTCGTGTTCTGTTCTAGCTGCAGCAATAAGATGACTGAAGAAGAACAAAGAAATACACATTGGAAAGCAAGAAGTCAGAGTATCATTATTTGCAGATGATATGTTAGTATATATATAAGTGACTCAAAAAAATCTACCAGGGAACTCTTACAGCTGACAATGCCTTCAATGTAGTAGCTGGGTAAAAGATTAAATCAAAATAAACAGTAGCTATCCTATATGCAAATGATAAGTGGCCTGAGAAACAAATCAGAGAAACATCCTCCACAATAGCCACAAATAATATAAAATATAACTCTAACCAAATAAGTGAATGACTTATATGGCAAAAATTCCAAGCCTTTGAAGAAAGAAACTGAATATCAGATGAAAAAGATATCAGATGAAAAAACTTTCCTATACTCATGGATCAAATTAGCATAGCAAAAATGGCCATCTTACCAAAAGCAGTCTACACATTCAAAACAATTACCATTAAAATTCCAATACATTTCTTTACAGACATTGAAATAGCTCATCTTCACATGGAAAAACAAAAAGCACAGATACCTAAAACAATTCTGCACAATAATAAAATCTTCCAGAGGTACTGCCATCCATAATTTCATGCTGTCCCACAGAATTCTAGTAATAAAAACTGCATAATACTGGCATAAAAACAGGTTGATCAATGGAATCAAATCAAAGACTCCAATGTAAGCCTACATATACACCTATGATTTGTGACAAACAAGACAGAAATATGTAATGAAGGAAAGAAACCATCTTCATCAAATGGTACTACTCTAACTGGATGTCAGTATGTAGAAGAATGCAAATAGATCTATATCTATCACTCTGCACAAAAATCAACTCCAAATGGATCAAAGACCTCAACAGAAAACAAGATACACTGAACTTGATAGAAGAGAAAGTGAGGAATAGAGTTGAATGCATTAGCACAGGAGACAACTTCTTTATTGTCATAGTTCTGTAGGCCTTGCTGGGTTTAACCTATATTTAATACATATGATTCATCTGATTTCACCAACTCCATATCTGACAAAGTGTTAATATCCAAAACATACAGAGAATTCAAAATTAGTGATCCAGAGACAAGAGACCCCTCTAAATGGACCCAAGAACAGCACTTACACTTGTTAACCAAAGACCTCAAAATTCTCTTCAGAAGACAAAAATAATTAATACAGTAAAGATTATTGCCATAGACAATCTAAAATACCCACTGCTCTGGATCATCTTATCTACTATAGAAACCATAAATATGATTGAGAGCCTAAGAGATTTAATGCCCTGAAAGAATGAAATCACTGCATGCCAAACTCAAAGGACCACAAATTCTAACTCTTGCTTTTATTTTTCTTCCCCTTCCTTTATGAATAAAACATCATCTGGTTTTCATTTTAACTGTGTGTCATATCCCATTAAATGTATCTGACTGATGGTTTTGTCTGAAGCTATGCTATTATCCTAGGAACAGCTACTTCTTAGAGACCTCCTATTCATAATGGAGAAACAGCACACTAAGAACAGATATGTGAGTTTCAAATATGCTCTACTTAAAAAGACGATCCCCTGGGAAACTGAAATAGAAAAGGTTTTGTGAGTGGACTGGGGGTGGGTATGGGAATGGCAGAGATCAGGTCTGGGGATGGAGGGAGAGAGTACTTGTAGAAATAACTGGAATTGGGGGGCATTCTGTGGTTTTTGTGGAAACAGTGCAATGGAAATTCCCTGGAATCTACGAGGGTGACCCTTGTGAGGATTCCTAGTAATAGGGGATATGGAGGCTGAAGCAGTCATATTTTGTAGCAAGACAAGGCTTTAAATGAAGGATTGGGACACTAAAGCAGCCACAAAGCCTTCAATCTACAACCTGTCCTGCCTGCAAGATGTAAAGGCGCCTCAGAACTTGTGGGAGTGTCTAACCAATGACTGATGTAACTTGAGACCCGTGCCACTAGAGGGAGCCCACACCTGACACAGCCTGGATGGTCAGGCACCAGGGGATAGATAGCCCAGAAACATTTGGTAAAACCAAACAGGCCTGGCAAAAGAATAATAATAATAAAAAAAAATTTAAAGCAATGAAATTATTCCTAATTACACTCTGATATATTCTTAGGTAGCCTGGAGCTTAGCACTCTTAATCAGAGATGCTTCATCTAGCAACTGATAGGACCAGATGCAGAGAACCACAGCCAAGCATGACACAGAGCTTGGGGAATCCTGTAGAAGAGCAAGAGAAAGGACTGTAGGAGCCAGAGAGGTCAAGGACACCCAAAAATGAATGGGGTCCACAGAATCAACTAACCAGGGCTCAAAGAGACTAAACCAACAATCAGGGAGCCTGTATAGGTCTATACTAGGTCCCCTGCATGTATATTATGTTGTATATTCGGTATTCTTTTGGGACGCCTAACAGTGGGAGCAGGAGCTATCTAAGTTTTCTTCTGTTTTTGGACCCCTTTGCTCCTACTGGTTTGCCTCATCCACCCTTGTTATGAGGGTATGTGCCTAGAATTATTATAACTTGATATGTTATGTTTGGTTGATATCTCTGGGAGGCCTGCTCTTTTCTGAAAGGAAATGGAGGAATGGATCTGGGAAAGAGGTGAGGTAGGAAGAGGGACAGGGAGAAGCACAGGGAGAAGAAACTGAGGTTCAGATGAAAGATAAGAGAGAAAAATAAATTAAAAAGAAAAAATGAAAGCATGGATCACTAAAGGCAATAAGTAAATAGCTTCCACTTATTGAGTATTAAAAAAAGAAATATCAAAATTGAATATTAACCTAATATCTATGCCTACTTTCCATATCCACGCTAAAGTGTGCATTATTTATCACATCCCTCACTTCTAGAACGGAATGATGTCTGGGGGGTTGTGATCATGTATGATGGATAGTAGCCATGTTCCATTTGTTTTTCTATAACTGAAAATAGTTCTTCCATCCAGTTTTCCATGAATGGCCTTGATACTTTTAAAGGACATAAGATAGTTAATTATTAAAAGATACATTTCTTCCCTGAAGAGTCCCTACTCTTTTTTGACTATTGTATTTATCTTTACATTCCTGATCCACATGCTATAGACAAATCAGTTCACAAGCACCCTACAAAACTTGTCTTTACTATTTTAATGGGTCATGAATGGCTACTAATTAAATTTAACTTTGTACCATATGTGTTCTCTGGAGAAAATCCTTGGATGAAAGTATACTTGTAAAAGATTACTACCAGTTGCAATTTAAAAGAAAAGAAAAATGAGATGAAAAGTGACTAGTGCAAGAGAAATAAAAGAGGATAGCAGGGGAGAATACAAAGAAGGAAAATTTTACTTGTGTATGAAATAGCATAATGAATGGTAGCCATAGAAAACCTTTAATTAAAGAGTTTTACTTGGGCCTTCACTGTTGCTACTTACTCATCAGTTTGACATAGGTTGGGCATTATCCATATCAGGAATTCATACTGAGTTTATGAGACCAATTAACTCTTAAGGTTTGATTATAAAAATGTAACTCACTGGCTCATATATTTTCACACTTTGTCTCCAGATGATCAAATTGTTTTGTGATGCTTTGGAATCACTAAGAATAGAGACCTAGCTTGCGGGTAGAAAAAAGTAGGGAAATATCTTGAAGCTTAGAGCCTGTTCCTGTTTCTAGTGCTGTTTGCCTTCTTGTCAACCAGTATGTGAAGAGGGGAATTGTATACTCCTTCCAAAATGGTGAAGCCTCTCTAGATGCAATGTCTTTCCTGCCATAGTGGACTGGTGCCTCCTGCACCTGGGATCCTAACTGAATCCTCCCTCCCATAGTCCTTGCTCTAGGGATTGTGCCACAGGAATGAGAAGAGTACTAATAGGGGTTATCACAGCTTTATTTTGTATCTTTATTTGTTTCATTTTTCCATCCTTCCTTGGAGAATTTCCTGGATCCAAGGAATATCAAACATGTTCTCACTTGCACAGTCCTAATGTATGCCTAGCAAAGTTTTAAAATTTCTGTGGTCACACCACCCCTCCAAGAATCCTCCATGCAACAAAAGCAGATATCTTTATATTTCTTCCGAAATATTTGATGTTATATGTGCCAGAAATTCTTGTTTCATGTATTTATATATTTCAATTGAAGCATTTATTTCACTTAAGCTAATTCACATCAATTTTAAAGTAGGTTGGTCCCAAAACTTTGAGGACACATTTTAGATAATTTAGAAAACAAATGTTATTTCCAAAGTAAAAATAATACACAAATATTATGAACAATGAAGTGACTGATCTTTAACTCTTATTCTATTCAATAATCAATTTTATAGCTTTAATGTTTATCCATTTCATTTTTTGAATAGGAAAAATTACATATTTCTTCTTGTATAACATACTACCATATTGGGGTGTAGAGATGGCTCAGATGTTAAGAGCAGTGACCACTCTTCCAGAGGTCCTGAGTTCAATTCCCAGTACCCACATAGTGGCTCACAACCATCTGTAATGAGATCTGTCAACCTCTTCTGTATACATAATAAATAAATAAATCTTTAAAAAAATACTACTATCTCCTGTGATTAACTCTTTACTCATTAACTTAATATATGCAAGAGACCAATAGATATCAATCAGTTAGGGGAATTGATTTGAATTTTCCTTCATACCATGGCAGAAAAGTAGTCCATGTAGTGGAGGTTTTGGTAGTGTTGCTGTTGATGTTGGTAGTGGTTGTGGTATGGTAGTTCTCTGTCTCTATCTCTGCCTCTGTCTCTCTGAGTATGAGTGTGTGTGTGTAATAATTTCTACAAAGAAACAATTAATTTGAAAGTAAGTGGGAGAAAGACATGAAAGGAGTTTAATGGATGAAAGCCTTTATTGGAAATGATACAAACACAGTACTCACTTATAAAATTATAGAAAATTAAAATAAATGTGAAAAATAAATCTGGAAAAATACCTTTGCCTGTGCCTCTACCTTGAAGTGTTTTCTCTGGCAGTTTCATAGCTTTGTGTCTTGCATTAAGGTCTTTGAGCTTTTTTGAGAGGAATACTGTTATCTGTCTTCGATACTCTTGCTTGGTTGAATCTATTGAAAATACTTCCAACCACAGTTTTAATTAGACATAATGAGTTTATAATTTCTAACACTTCTTTATTAGATACATTTGTTTAAAAAATCATAATTTTCTTTCTTAATTATTATTATTTCTTGAATAATGACAGAGGCTCAGTATTCATGTGTCTGGAACCTGTATACTTCTATATGAGTTTGATACAGTGAACGCTTTAATACGGAAGTATTATTTCATTATATGTAGCCTGTGGCTGAGGGGGCTTACAGTCCTTCTATGTCAATGTCTGCGTGTTTGTTTTTCTATGCTATTCCTGATGATTCATTAACCTCTTCTGCATCCTTCTTTACTGTATCATTGAGAGCTGGATAAGACACATGGCTATTTTCGCACTCTAGCATTGTACTTATATAAGTTATTTGAATTTTAATTCAGTGGAATGAATGATTACATTAGTCAAGAAGTGAGAGACAATACAAAAGAAAAAAGATAAAAACAAAAAGAAAGAAGCTGGATTGTCAAAACTTTGATCTAGGTTCAAAATTTTCAAATGTATGTTTTCAGATATTCTTCTTAGCAATGCAGCAGCAAACTCTTTTACTTGACCACAGATATAGTAAGGAATTTTTAGAAGTAATATCAGACTACTTTCTTTCTAGCTTCTTGCCCTCATAATTGAATTAATCAATACCAGACACAAAAGAACATTAGGCAAAAGTTTTAGTTGAAAGGGAAAACATTGAAATCTGAACACCACATAGAAGAGAGAGTGTTTTTGTGAAAACCATGCTAATGAATAGAAAATGACTTTTTTGTTGTTAACTACATCAGTGGATATCTTTATTTGTCTCTTATTTTAAAGTAGGTCTTGAGATAACATTGAGATCCAATGAAACAAAATCATGTACAGCTAATGGTTTGAGTTGAGTCAAGCATCACAGGGCCATTTCAGTATAAATCTGTGTTTATAATCAAGTATCACATAGATAATTTTTAGGACATCAGGTCATTCATAAGATTTGTTATTAAGAGTGGATTTGAAGATGTCAGCATATATTCCAGAATGGAGAGTCACTTTGGTTTTTGCTTGGATGATAGAGATAAGTAATTTGTCTCCCTATGTGTGAGGCTAAGATGAAATAGGGTAAGGCCAATAAGCATGGTTTCAAATCATGACTTGGGGTCCAGTAACCTTTTGTCAGAGTGACTATAAAACGTTGTTAATGTAATTGAGAGAGGCCATACATTCCAAATATTGTACTTTTTGAGAAATGAAAACTCAATTAAATATAGAAGATGTATAATTACTCTGATAAAGCATAGAGTCTCCAAAGAGATTCCTTATATCAGAAATAAAATATTTTGTATTTGAAGACACTGGAAAATTTACCAAGGAAAATCTTTCATGGATGTGGAGAGGCTGCCTACCCACCCCCACAGTTCCCCAGAGTTCTCTTGAGTAGGAGCAGCAGGAAATATTAGACAGAAGAATACAGAGGGGGGAGATAAAGATAGAAAATACAGGATAGCCTCACGAAGGTCAGGAACCTATTCCATTGCCCCCCACCGTCTCTGCCTTAGGATATTTATAGGAATATCAAGGTGGTGGAGCAAAAGAGACACGCCCAATCCTCTCCTCTATGCAGACTTGATGGGTAAAGACACTAGGAAACCTGAAAATGGGCTCCCACATCTGGACAATTGATGTCCTCTGAAAGTTTAACTGGTTCCACAACTTTCTATTCCATTATGGAAAAATTCACCTGCACATAGTTAGAGGTGTGGCTTTTCTGGCCTAGAGGCAGGTTAATAAACACATATGAAAAACTGTTGGGTTAGTTGTTCCTCTGGAGAAATAATACCTACTCACACCAGATACAGAATAAAAGAAATACAAAAGTAACTCCAGCAAAGTACAACATGGTAAAACAATGAATTTGCTGAGGTTCCTTACTTACAGTGGCATGGAGGAGACAAAGTCAGCTATATCACAAAAAGGTCCTATTCATGAAATTGTTACAACTCACAGTAGTGCAATCCTGTAGCTGTATGCATGATGTTGAGGTCATTTCACAAATCATAGAGAATCATATGAGCACCCAGGAGAGTCAGAGATTCCCCTCTCCCCAGCAACTTTTTAACATTTCTATAATTTTGAGAGAGGGACTTGTCTATATTTTTTAAGTCTCTAGAACTTGCTTACGTTATTTATTTTTTTAGACAAATGAGCTTGCCTTCTCTCATCTTTAAATAATGTTTGTATTGAAGAGAAGTGGCAAAAATGAGCCACAAAAATTTCCACCTCTCTACTGTCTTTCTGACAATATCCTCATCCAGAGTGGCCACTAATTATATTTTAGAACTTGGCTCACATAATCTTTCTCCAGATTTGTCTTTGCTGTAAGCATTTGGTATTGCTTTACAGATTGGGTCAAGTCTCCAGAATGTTCTCATTCTACTGATTTAGTTTCTCTGCTGTTTTTCTCACTACTAGACAGATTGGCATAGGAGCCATATGTGGATTTACCTATATTGCTCACATACTTTCCCTATCTAAATTGGTCTTTTATTGATTCATTCACTTAGTTAGTTAGTTAGTTAGTTAGTTAGTTATGAACGAAATGAACCTGATAAAAAGTCACAAAATGACCTAGCATGGAATCTTAGCATTAAAACTGAACAATAGATTTAGAAGGTTATATTTCTCAAATGAGAACAGCTTTATCATACAGAGGAAGAAACTAGTACCATGAATTCATATGTTAGTCTGATGCAATCTAATTTTCTGATCTTATATAATATAAGCCCTGTTCTGAGTTTTTATTTACTCAAGTCAAAATATGAATTCTATAATTGTCTTTCTAAAGTCAAAAATTACAAATCTTGCTTGTAACTTGTGAGGTGCTATGCCACTGAAAAATACTTTGAAGTTTTAAATGAAGTGAACCCCTTGAGCAGAGATTTTGATGTAACCTCCTCAGAGCACACTTGACATCACTGTTCCTCAGGCTGTAGATCAAAGGATTCAGTGCTGGAGGTAACACAGTGTAGAGCACAGAAAAGAGCCTGTCTGTGATTGATGGTACATCTGAGGGAGGCTTCAGATAGACAAAGCAAGCAGTAGCTATGAAAACAGTGAGAACAGTGAGGTGGGGGATGCACGTGGAAAATGCTTTGGACTGACCTTTAGTAGTAGGAATCTTCAACACAGTGGAGAATATGTAAAAGTAAGAGATCATCACACAGATTAAGCAAGACATGGCCACACAAACACCAATTCCAAGACTTGAATAAATGACCACGAGTGTTTTGGAGCATGAAATCCTTAGCAATGAGGGAACATCACAAAAAATCTGCAGGATCACATTGGAGCCACAGAAGGGCAGAGAAAATGTGCCAGCTGTGTATAAGACTCCAATTATTACCCCAATAGCCCAGGAAACACCCACCATCAGCACACATGTACCACTACTCATTATGGATTGGTAGTGCAAGGGATTGCAAATGGCAACATAGCGGTCATAGGACATGGCAGTCAGGACAAATACTTCTCCTGCTGCAAATGAAGTCATTAAAAATACCTGGAAGACACAACCAAGAATGGAAATGGAATTGTTGTGAGTTAGGCTATTGACAAAGAAATTTGGAATGGGAACAGACACAAAGAAGACATCCAACAAGGACACATTCTTCAAGAAGAAGTACATGGGTGTTTGAAGCTGCAGGTCAATGGTGATAAGAGTGATGATGATGAGATTGCTTATTACAACTGCCATGTACATCCCTAGGAAGAGCACTCCACATAAAGTCTGCAGCTTCTGGATGTCAGAGAACCCCATGAGGATGAATCCAGTTATTGCAGTGACATTGTGCATTCTGGATTCTTTTCAGGCTCTTCAAGAGTAAAGAAAAAATGAATAAAAATTGGCATCACACAAATGATAATACTGACATACAGAAATGCTCAGTGGAAAGGAGTCAAGATACCACACTTAAGATACAAATACATTTCCCAAAACTCTTATTTCTTTCTCCTTTCCTCTCATAATCTTACCTTCTCTCTCCCTCTCTCTCTACCTACTCTATATTCTCTCTCTGTCTTTCTTTCGATCTTGCTCACTTCTCTCTCTCTCTCTCTCTCTCTCTCTCTCTCTCTCTCTCTCTCTCTCTCTCTCTCTCTCTCTCTCACTGTCTCTCTGTCTGCCTGTCTCTCACTCTCCTTCTATTGTCCTTAAGGCTCTCTATATGCTGACCACATTCTACAATTGAGCTATAGAATCTTAATTCCTCACCATTTTAAAATAAAGTCAGAGTAGCATGAGCTATGTGTGATATAAATTAGCCTTATTTTTTAAGTAACTAGTCATAATTAGCCTAGGAAGAATTTTCGCAGTTTGGACAGGTCTTGTTTCCCTAAGTGTTAATCAGTTGTTGTTATTTTTTTTATGAAAACTGAGTCTATTTCAGCCAGCTATAAGAAATAGTTTTGAATGTTTGAACAATAGAGGCATGATATATTGATATAAAGATATGTCTAAATATACCTCAATATGATAAGTACACATGCATGAAGAGATCACATTACCATATATAATACAAAGTTACTGTGCACTAGTACACAGTAATAAACAAAGGAAAATGCAGAAAAATAAAATACCTAAAAGGTAAAAATAAAACGTAGAGGTTTCACTTAGTTCTGCAGCCACAACCTTGCATTTGTATTAGATAGCTATGAGTTTGGGTAACAGAAATTGGGTCAATTTGCTGAGCACTTCTGTCAACTCATAACAGTTTTCATCAAGAATTCTTAAGAAAATAATAATGGGGTTTTAGATACTACTTTACTTCAAACCACAGCAAATACCCAATGGAAAGCTAATGGTAAGAGAAAATCTTGACATCTCTTCAATAGTTTCCTTTGTATTTGATTTTCTTAAACTTTCGGACAATTTGTTCCTCAATTTTGAGGATAAGCATGGTGTTTTTCTCAAGCCAGTATAATCACTTTTCAAGGCTGAAAAAAAAATAACCAGATTTTACAATTTATTAACTGCCATATTTTACTCATGTATTCCATACTACAAAGGACCACCAAGTAGTCATCATTCATTTCCTTGCTTCAACAGTGGAGGATTGTAGGCAGGTGACTCACTGGTGAGGCTGACCCCATGAGAAGTAATAAACATTAACGGGGAAAAAATATCAGTATTCTAAATGATAAAACACCTTGCAAAGCAAATAAAGCATCTGATAACACTCCCCTTTCAATTTAACAGGTGTTGCCTTTCTAAGCAAAGTCAACTGTAATTACCTAGACACAGCTGAGACTATGTGATCCGACTGAGATAGTAATAAACCAGAGCCCAATCTGCCACAGTAGTTTTTATGCTTTTTCCCTGTTTAATCATGGAGTTCTTATGAGTACTTCTGAAGACAAGGTTGTTCAATTCAATTATATTTACTAAATTCCTTTCTCACCTTTCACTATTATATTCAGTGTTTGATTTCTGTGGACATCAGCTATTCCTAAAGTACTGTGACTTTCAAAAGCCAGAATCTCAGTTGCATAGGATTCCTTATTTTCTTGAATATTTTTATCGTGCCATATTGCTTGTAATTCAGTTTTCAATATTACCTGATATGTCTTGGTGCAAGTCAAAATTTTTGGTGCAAACTGTATTATTTACTAGGTTAAAATTAATTGCATAACTCTGTGTGGGGTGGAGTGGCTGTGTGTATGTATTTGTGTTTGTGTGTGTGTGTGTGACATGACAATGATAGAGACTAATATAGAAAATATGGGTGCATCTTATTCTCCACTGGATGAGGCAAAGATAAGAATATACAAACATGTACATATACTCTATTAAACAACAATAATCTTCAGATGTTATATTTTAGGTCAATAAATGATTACAATTTACAGATTCATCAGTTGGCTGCTTGAGCTTAAGGCAATTCCACCAAAGTTCACAGGACAAGTATACATGTATACAGGATAAAGATCTCTAGAGATGACATTTAGGAAAGCACAACTCTAATGCAACATAAGGATGGATCTAATTTGGAAAATTTAGAGAGCAGCTCTCTGTGTGCCCAGGAAGAAGGTATGGTAGAGGGCTGAGATTCTGCTATAACAACCAGGAGGCTTACAAAAAACACAAACAGGCAAATATGAGAAATAAGGGTGAATCAATTACTGCTGAATTACATTGTTTTTCATATCTGTTCCAATTTCCTCAACATCTGTCATATTATTTCAATTGTTTTCAGAGAGTATATTTTAACATTTTTTTATGGAAATTTGAAATTGGTACCTTAAAACAATTCAAATTCTTCACATTCCAAGAAAAGAGTTACTCTTCAGATACTTGTAGGAAGATTTTCCAGCAGCATCAATTTGAGGAGGGGAAATTTTTCCATAAACCTTATGGTACACTTTTGCAGTGGATCTACTGGAAGGAAAATAGCACATGTAGATCTCATTTGGAAAACCTAAAATCATTTCATATTGTTGCATCTTTAGTGTTGTAAGAAAACTCAAATTTTCTTTGCTAAACTGTGATCATTTTTCATTGTGAGTACGCAAATATAAGACAAAAATAAAAATGTTTTACCTTTTTGTAACCTTTAATGTGGATTCACTTGAAACCTTATATAATCCAAACATTTCTAACAGACCTTTTAAAGTCACTTGGCTACTTCCTGGGATTCCCCAAAGGCAAACATTTCTGGGTAGCCTTATTAAGAATCCTCGTCTTAAAATAATTAGTGTTGGAATAATTGGTGCTTCATACAGAACACATTACGTATTTCCCAGAAAATACACTGGGATAGATCATGAAGAACATGCTCATGATTTCCCCATAATTAAACTAATTATGTATCTCTTTAGTTACACAGTACATAGAGTTGGAGACAGCATTATAGTTTTAAATAAATGTTATAAAATACAAAAATTATGAATTATGGTTAAAAGCCCCTGCCATACCACCTGCATCAAATTCTTTTCTCAATGCTTGTGTCAAAATACATGAGGATAAAAGACAACATGAGAAAAGAAGGACTGACTCTAGTTCATGGTTTTCAAGTACAAGTGCGTCATGGCACAGATAGCACAGTGTTGCTTCATGAAAGAGCTGGTCGCAGTGGTCCTACAGTGAGAAGGCAGAAAATGACAAACTATACCACTCCAGTGATATTCTTCCCAGCTTCTTTTTTTCTGCCCAAGACTTAAATATAGAAAATAGAGCCACCAACACATCCTCCCCCCAAGCTTAAGCCTCACTGGAAATCTTTGCCCTTAGAGACACTTGGTCTCTAAATTTAAATTCTAAATCTCATCAAATTGACAGTGAATATAAGCCATCTCAACATTATCCCATGTCAACTTGATGTTCAGAGGCATAACTTTAAAGCGTAACACTACACAGTGGTTCTTACAGTATCATATAAATGCATATGAAATGCATAATGTTTTTCAAGGCCAGACATATTACGGCTTTGAGTTTCAGACGACAATTAGATTATGGACAGATCATGAACTTAAAAACAGTATTTTATTTTAAATTATGTCATTGTATGAGTTTGACTTAGTGAGTGCACGTGAGTGAGGATGACATCAAAAGCCATAACAGATCATTTGGGTTGGAGTTATGGGCAACTCTGCACAGCCTAATATGAGCACTGAAAACAAAATCTGCCTCTTCAGCAGGATAAGTATCAACTCTTAACAACTAAGTTCTGGACCATAGACATTGTAATAATGTTGTAAGTGTTAAGACTTTAGGTATTTTAGAGGTTTATTAAATTAATTTATCCTCATGAAATGAACATGAAACTTTCAGAAGTTTGGTATAATATTATGCTTAAAAATGATGCATTTGGGCAGCAAGTAGTCAAGGCATAGAGTTGAGATGGCCAATGTTTCCTGTAATTTGATGAGAATTAATATCAACTAAGAAAAACAATTTGAGTATGTCTCTAAGGACATTTTTAGAGAGGATTGACCTTAGCAGGAAGATGTATCCTGGCTGTGGGTGACTTTTTTGGATTTGTATCCTGGGAAGAAAAAGATAAGTTGACCAGAATACAATTAGAGTGATATAAGTAGCCATTTTCTGCTTTCTGATTGTAGATACACTGTGACCAGTATTTTGTGACCCTGAAACTAAGCTTTTGCTATAATTTGGACGGTACCTGCAAACCATGAGCTAAAATTAGTCTTTCCTTTCTTGTGTTGACTTTTACCCAATATATTTTGGGACACTCATGAGAAAAGTAATTAACACAGGATGTATGATTGGAGTCTTTATTCAAAGTTCCTAAATGTTGTATTTTGGAACATTTGTTTAAAACTTTAATGTTGTCTCCAATTCTATGTACTGTACAATTAAGAAAATACATAATTACTTTAATTCTTGAGAAAATATTAGCAATTTTTCATGATGTATTCTAGTATATTATCATCAGGCTGATTAATCTGGTATGTAAGAAACAGCAATTATTACAACACTACCTCTTGTAGATGTAACTAACCATCTTATTAAATAAGAAACAAAGAACCAATGCAAAGAAGAAAGCCAAGAGATCAGAGCTAAGAGCCTTACCCGTCTGCTGCAGCTAGCCTCTTCAGCCAAGAGACCTACTTCCTGTGTTTTTGTCTTTATATAGACTTTCTGTTCTGCCTTCTCATTGGTTGTAAACTCAACCACATGACTGCCTCATCACTGCCTGTCTGTACAGACCTCCAGGTCTTCTATGGTTGGTATTGAGATTAAAGGCATGTGTCTCCAATGCTGGCTATATCCTTGAACACACAGAGATCTACCTAGCTCTGCCTAACAAGTGCTGGGATTAAAGGTGTGTACCACCACCGCCCAGCTTTTGCTATGGCTCTAATAGCTCTGACCCCTGGGCAACTTTATTTATTAACACACAAATCACATTTTAGTACAAATAAAATATCACTATAAGCTATCTTAAGAAATGCCAGTCTTCGTGAGGATATCCAGAAAGATTCTCCTTTGTGGATGCCCAGGATGTAGCCATGTGACTTAAAAATTCTTTTAGAAACAGTATGATTAAGTGATATTTCAAATGAATCCACATTAAAGATTATAAA